TTGTCAATTTTTTATGATATCGTCAAACATATATTTTATTCAAAAATAAAAGCATCATCGCTTTCTTAAAATCACATAAAGTCATATTATAACATCGACTGAGATAAAGAATAAAATGAAATATTAAAATCACGATATATCTCGCTGCATTGCGCGAGTACACTTCTAGTAAATATTATATACTTTAGAAAAAAACTTAAGTCACTGATGTACACCCGATCAGAAACAATAAAAATCAATGGTAAAGCTGGTTGGTTGTATTACTCTCAATCGAATGCTTACAAAAGGGTTTCTGGCTTTCGAGAGGCCAGAATCTCTCCACAGGACTCACGCCCAAAAAAGTGTTTACCAAACAGAATGCTCACCTACTGGACCCTCGTGAGTTGTTTGTACTTGGGCATATGGAATACCTACTTGTACGCTATAAGCAATTACTGAAGTAGGGTATAGCAATACCCGCCCCTGAATTTTCATCTTGTCCTCACGGTGGAAAAAACAAAAACTCTGATTCAAATACTTTTTACTAACGATTGCTGCTGGTGGTGGTGGTGGTATCGATGGTGTTCTGGCTGCTCAACCAAGTCTATACTTGCTGTAACTTGTGTCGGAGCGGCTAAAGAGCTCAAGATGGTTATGTAGCTGCCCAACAAGATCCACCTCCAGTCCAAGCGAGCATAGCTCTCTTTCCCAATGGAAAAATTTCCCATCCTCTTATAAACCAGGCTACACTCGTCTTCTTTTCCATTTGATGTAAAACGTGAGGTAGGGAAAGTATCAGCAAATCTGTTAACCACATAATTAGGTCGGTTTAAAGATCCTTCCGGTTGTGTAAAGTGAAACAAATCAAACCAAGTTGTTCCTTGCTTTGGTCGATTGCTTGGTTCCTCAAAACGTTTCACAACTTGAGTCTTTGCACCATCACTACCAATAATAAGCCTTTTAATTGGAAGGATTGGCAATCTGACCACCCTTTTCAATGATGAGGCTCAATTTGGATCCCCAACTTTAAGAGTAGATAGACAATTCCCAAAAGAAAATGAACCATACAAACTCCACAGTTTGACAGCCCGATCCCTATAGGTGGTATGAGGCTGCTCTTTAATGGATGATCCTGACTGTGTAGGTAACGCAGAAATTTATACCTTACCACTCGCTATAGTTGAAGGTGGTGAATAAGAGCCTAAAGCAGATGCACCTGTCCTGAATGGCACCACAGAATTGTGTGCATTGGTGGTCATCATAGACCGACAACCACATTTACAGATGATCCCACATGTGTAGTAACTAATTTCAACACTCCAGTGCCACTCCTCCCTCTTATTATGCCTTTTAAAGAACCTCCAAAGATGTTAGCTGCAAACTTGGGCATATCTTGTGCATCAAAACTAGCAAGTTGGATACGTGTATTCACAGAACTACTAAAGTAGTGACCTGTGAGGGTATAACAGTTACTTAGAACAATCTGCATTTGTAAAAAATAAATGTGTATGCTCACACTGTATACCTGCTACTTGTATTCCTTGTGATTCGTTTACCATATACTAAACTATAATCCTCGCAATCTTGAGCAAGTAAGGGGGGTCTTCATGGAAACTACTTCTCTAGTCTTTGGGGTAGAGGCCACGTCTGACCTACATCTCAACCCCCATATGCTAGCATGGGATTTACAGGGTCTGTTTGGTTTGGTTAAATGTATAAGAACATGTCATTTTTTGAAAAGAAAGTAAGGCCCCATGGACAACTTATCAGAACATTAGATGTAGGTACCAAAAATTATTTTACTCTATAGTATCAGGAGCCTTTCCTCTTCACCAAATTTGGCACTTTTTTTTAAATAAACAAGTGCTCAAATTGATTTCAAAGTTTTTGATTCTAAAATATCTAATGAGCAATTAATTTCAGAAAATGCTGTGCTTGGATCCTAGCAGAAGAATTACAGCCAGGACAGCACTGGAGCATGAGTACTTCAAGGATATTGGGTTCGTGCCATAACTCTTCACCAGGTTATCTTCATGTGCAAAATCGAACCTCTTGTGGATTATTATGTGAGATATGTGTGTGCCATTTTTAGATCATCTCCTTGTTGTCATTTCTTCTCCACCGTAACGTTTTTCGGTGCTTTCTTCAAAAGCCATTGTCGAATTGGCTTGTGCCTTTTTCTTTTCATTCGAAACCCTCTTTTCGTGTTTTCAAAAAAGTTCCATATTTCTTGTAACAGTTTTCTTGATGGAGAACATATCATCAGGCTTATTTCCTTCTTTTAATGGAGTTCTTTGGTGTGCATTCTGCATGTGGTTTTCAATTAGTCAATGAAATGAGATGGTTTTTCATTATGAGCATTTCAAAGGATTGTTGCAAGAAACATCTTTACACAACGGTCCTATATCTGTGTGATAATGACCGAGAATCTTACTGGGCTATGGCTCTTATCCATTTAACAGTTACCATGTAAGATTGTTGCTTATGATGCCATTTTGATTGCCGAGGATCTTACTCGGTAAGTGTTTGGTAGGAGGACCCTTGGTACTTATGGGCTGGGTTTCGGTGAAAATGAAAGTTACGGTAAGAAGGGTAAAAAGGGATCCCCACCCTTGAATCAATCCTGATTGAAGAGAAACACTGATCAACACCAATATGATATACCAGATCAATATTTTTTCTAAAGCGCAATTCATGGGTTGATTTGAGATTAAAAGTGATCAAAAGTCCAAATCCTTTCTTACACTTTCCACCTTAACTTCTATTTTCACATGATCCTTCTTCTGGTGCTTATATGATTCAACCGTTTGTTTATTATATTTTGTATTTTGGCATAGAATAAGTATAATGCTCGAATGTGCATATAGAATGCGTGTGGTACACAAGATTATAAATGAGTTTGGTGATAGAACATTAGCTTGCCATGTAACTCGTCATAGATGCCAATGCCATGGTAGTTTTGACCTTGGGGAGTTGTCGGTTATAGGCATGGTATTTTCTAGGGGTTGCAATGGGTCAGGTTGAGTTGGGATCAAGTTCAACCCATTTATTAAACAGGTTGGAAATCTCAACCCAACTTAACCCAATCTATTTAATTAAATTGTTGAGATTTTTCAACCCAACCTAACTTGTTACCTAAATAAGTTGATAGCCGATTGATGTGCTTATGATTTTTTCAACTCAATCTGTTAAATAAATGGGATGAACGTGAGTTGACCCATTTAATTCTAAAAATTTAAACAAAATAAAAAGGGTTAAGACTATTTAATGTTATGACAAATACAAATAAGCTTGTTGACCTTCTAGAGAGAAGGTAAAGAGGAGGAAAAAAAATATGGAGGGAAGAGGGAGATAGGGTTGAATTTTAGAGGGAAGGATTATCTTTAAAAAATAAATCATAAATATTTTCAGTAATTTCCTTTATTTTTTACTGATTGTAATTTCTCATTCAACCATAACCGTTGATTAGAGAAAAAGACGGCTCAAATCGGTTTATGAAGTTTGTACTTATATCACGATTTCATAGTAAGAGCAAGCATCCATGCAAAATTTATGTTGGTAAACAATTATGACTTTTTTGGTTATTGGAACGGTTCATAATCTTTATGGTAAGGAAAATAATATATTGGGTATCGGTGAGAATAAGAATTACCGTGAGAAGAAAACCTTCATATACTTTCAACCACCTTTAATTATCTATTTTTATTATCATGTTTAAAACTTTATACATGGAAAAGTGATTAAATATATATAAAAGTTCGTGAAAGTGCGAACATAAAGGTGGTTGAAGGTATCAAAGGCAATTGAAAAAAAATGAAGTAATATTTAGAAGTGTTTTTGTCATTCTCACAATTACTAATATATATATATATATATATATATATATATATATATATATATACAGAGATATTAAATAAAATAAAAAATTTAATTGGATAAGATTAAGAGAAGGTCATGCATCCCCGCTTCAAATATGAAGATAGATTCCCATCCTCGTCCCGTTATCCGTCAGACCGGGGAATCCCCATCCCATTAAGGTCGGGTTGCCCGCCTCGACAGGTAAAATTTCCATCCCTAATTATTACATGATCTCACGTCTATATATAATACAACAATATACCATTTCAAATTAAAAAATGTCAACCACGTTATTTACATATAAGTCTATATATAATACAATAATATACAATTTCGAATTAAAATATGTCAACTACGTTATTTACATATAAGCCCAGGATTGAATTACAGGTGTTTGTGGTAGTTATCCTAAGTAGGAGAATATACCCTTCGAGCCAACATAACCCTAAGAACGAAGATGATGTTCCCTAGAAAAAGGGTATGCAATTTTCTGGAGCGCCTTCCATCTAGATTTGGTATGCGGACAGGACAGGACATGACTGAATGGAAAGAAGCAGGGACAAGTGAAAGTAAAGTAGGCCGGTAAACTAATATTTAAGGTCATAATTTGACATTAAATATTTACCTAAACCGGTATGCCCCTGAGTGGATCCCACGTTAGCTCCAAGACGTTGGTCTTTAACTAGAAAAGTATATGCTCGACCTTGAGAAGCTTCTGGTCCAGTGGGTCCGTAAAATCACTAGGATAAGCAGTATCGTGAACCAGACAGTACAACAAGCAATGAAACCAAAGACAAATATAGCCGCTAAACTATAAGATAAGTAGTCCTCTCAGACCATACAAGTGGGCGTCGAGCCATGCGAAGGGTCTGGTTAAGATATGCCAAATTCCACCAGGTATACAAATGGAATCTAACCATACATGGCTTATATCTTCCAAATCGTCTACACTAACAATCGATGCTTGCCTCAAAGGGGATGGGTAATTTAGTAATTACACCTATCTTGAACAAGTTTTTGCTTAATCAAAATGACATCATAATCATGTTTATTTGAAGATACAAAGCTTTGATGTCATGTGAAATCCTAAAATCTACAAAACCATCCTCTACTTGCAATTAGAAGCCATACCAACATATTTTCAGTCATTAACACCTCCAAATTTCAAGTTTTTCAACAATCCAACTGTTCTTCTATGCTTTCACAAGCACAGAGGTCAGCAAAACAGACACAGAAACCATATATATATATATATGCATACAGAAGCAAAAAGAAAATTTGTGAACCGAAACCGTAGAGGCTTACTCACAACATGATGTCGGTACGGGCTGGCAGCCTCCGGAATAAGTTCAGTGCTGCAGATGGCAACCTATGACGAAACCTCGGGTGTCTCATGACGTAAAATCCAGCCACCGTCACCAGCACCTGAAAAGGGGTAGCGTATAACACAAATGCAGCCACGAGACAAAACATCATGAATATAAGCGTGGCCCGTGGATCGCGCCAGCTCAGGAGCCCCTGTACTCGTTCCCCTTGGCTCGCTATGTCACCAACCACCGACTGGATCCGGCCTGCAACGCTCCGTAAACGGTCGTACCGGTGCCTGATGAGGTCCGGGTTCCGAGACGTCGGGAACGTGTCGAATTCCTCGTCGAGCTCATCGGGGTTGACCGCATCAGCATACGATAACCGAGTGTTCATATGAGGAGGGTATTGGGCTCGGAACCAGTAGTTCCAAAGCCCAATAAGGAACATGTAGAGAAAAACTGTGGGCAGAATGAGTTCCGGGAACGAAACGAGCATCACGAAGAGGACATGAACAAGCACTGTTGTGATCGGATTTTTCCATAAACAAACTTCCCCGAACCATTTACTTACCGCAAACACCCCATTGAAAACCGACATTAGCCGGAAAAAGTTAGCTTTGCTTCGCCTCATGCTCCATAGATGCGAATTGGCATCGGTCATATACTCGACGATTTCTCTCCTTAGCGGCGGTTCCGCTCGACTGAGCCGAGCAGCCACTATGCCAACAGCTTGGTGGCGAAGCATTTCGAGCTGGACAACCGTCAACGGCCGCACATAGTGCATTTTTGGCAAGAGGGGTCTCGAGTACATATACATCATATTCATCATGGAAGTACTCGAAAACCGAATAGCCAAATGCAGTTCTCCCATCTTCTTGACACCTGAAGGCTGAAGGAGTAGTAATGGGTACGAGTGCGTGTAAACTCGGCCCGTTTCAAGGGTCGATATTCTGATACGAATTTTCCCAATTCGAACATCTTTCGGATTGTTACCTGAGTCGTTCTCAAGCTGAGAATTGTCAAAAACGCCCACAGTTAGAACTGTGGCCGGGTCATAAACTTCCCAAGTGTACTGCTCATTGAATTTCGGAGCAGAACTGTCGGGAACTGTCCGTGTTCGAACCCATTTGTGACCGTATTTTGCTACACAATATGCATCCGTCGTTCCCCTACTCTCCCGGGTTTTCATCGGGAGAAGAGCACTCGCATTCAAGATCCCGAGTTCGAGTATTCCGATCGATGGCTTCCAGAGCTGTTTTGCAGTCGGCCTGAGATCGCTGCTATACTGAGTCGACTCATCGAGCACATGATATCCTCCGTCAAGACAAACACGAAGATGTAGCCGAGTTGCAAACTTGTGGTCTTTCTTCTTCTCGTCAACATCGTGATCACTCGGATCCTGAAGGTTAAACCATCGGGGATGAATAACCCGATCATCTGCTCGCCTTTCAACAGCATTCAACGGTATAAAAACTTTCCCTAAGGCCTCATCTTTGTTGGGTCCCATCCGATCTTCTATCGTAAGGATCAAATGATCTTCGAATGGCTCTGCAGCTACAAGCATCATCTCTTCATTCCATAACGCGTTTCCGCTTCTCGCTTGGACCGGTCTCGTTCTCAAAACTTGGTTATTGATCTGCACTTTCACGTAAACATCTGGGAAACGCGTTTTTTCTCCCCAAACAAGATCTTGTACCTCGATCACATTAACACGAACGTACCAAAGTCTAGGAGAGTGGTAGACTTTTGATCGAGTATACATTGAAGAGACCGAGCCATCGACACTGCTCATTGCAGCATCGGCAAGAAAAGCATCGGGAAAGGCTTCATCAGCTTGCGTCCCCATCCAGACAGCAAGCATCAGTTCCCCTTTCTTTTTCTCACCCTTTTTGTCCTCGATGCGATACCATTCCGGAGCCAACGGGCTATCTGGCGGGACCCGTGTAGGAATATCGTGAAGATTCACACGAACGATCCCAACAAAATCGTCTTTTAACGTGTCTTTATCCTTAACCACAACATCCAAAACCGTTGCTTGCATTCTTTCTCTCGAGAAGGCGAAAACCACGTTCCATTCTGGGTTCGATGTTTTCGAGAAGTGTTGTGTGACTCCTTTATAGTTCCCGACTCTAACTTCGACATATGGGTCGAGACTTCCGGTCACGTCCATACTTGGAAGATCTTGTGCTTTCACGACTCTAACGAAAAGAAACTGCATTTGCTCCACGAGATCGTAAGTGCTGGCCCTCCTGTTATCTCCGCTCACAACTCTACCCCCGATCACTTGCCCACCTCCAAGAACCGGGCTTGTTTCTTTGAGAGCATATTCAAGCGGTTGTGATGAAGATCCTGAGTACATTCGCACGACCCTTGGTTGACTTTGACTTTGATTTTGATTTTGATTTTGACTTCTCATGTCCTCGAGTCCATATGCATACGGTTGTGGCTGGCTCCCGGTTGCTATGTACGGTTGCTGTGCAGGAAACTGAGGCTGATGGAAGTTTGAGTTCGAGTTTGGCAAATGGTGAAATGTTCGTCTTGAATCCTTAGTTTCGTTTCGGCCATGTGAATGAGTATCCATCTGAGGAAGCGGATTCGAGGACCGGATCGAAGGATTGTCGGTGACAAACACTTTAAGGCCGAGCTCGCCTTTTACTCGTGAGAAAATGCTTCTTTTCTCTAAAGGGTAATGGAAAACAACAGCATCCGAATAAGGTACGAATGATGTTCCATGGATATGAACCTTACCCATGAAGGATTTCGTGTTGTTTCCTTTGGCATTGTTGTAGATATATGCATCAAGTGTAAGGTTCGCTAGGTTCTTCGGATCCGAGATAGTGAAATAGAAAGTTTCGTTCCAATAAGGATCCAAATCCTTTTCTTTGACCGTGGTTCGGAACTTTTGATGATCAAAGTGAAGCTCAACGTATGGGCTAGCGGAACCCTGACCATCTTTCGCCATCAGGTCATGGGCACTTGCGACCTCGACTCCTAGCTTTAGGTTGTTCATTTGAGATCTTTCTTTGAGGGCTTTTTACAAACAGGTGTTGGGAGTCTAAATTGCAGACCTGTAAAGAATAATCCATTCATGATGAATTAGCACCAGCTCCAAGAATCTAAGAACATAAAACAGTTTTCAATCTTCATAAACACAAAATTACAAGGAAAAACTGATTGGATTCAAAGAACACATGTATATTAATAGAATCAGAAGTGAATCTTTAACAACGACGAAACGGGATTCCTAAAAGGTTCTTATAATCAACAAATTCTTATGGCTTTATGAGAATGAAGGAAAGGAATAAAATCTCTGCATATAAAAAGAGGAGAATCAATTGAATCAGCAAGGAATACTCACAAAAGGGAGAATACTTTTTAGCTTGTTCATACTCTATTAACAGATATAGAGTTTGACCTTATGGTCAAGCAAACTACAATTCAAACTTCAAATTTGGTAAGGAAATCATATGTTGGTGTTTCAATTTGTAATAAAATCATATTAATCCAACAAAATCTTCCAATAACACCCACAAATACGCATTTTTTTCTGAATTTAATCACGAAATCATGGAGAACAAAAGAGATGAACAGATATAACAACTGGAGTTTCAATTGAACAATCAACCTAGAAATGTCCCAAATCACGGAACAGATTTTTTGGACCAAAAAGAGGTCAAATTCTCACACTAAAACTCCAATCATTCAACAAAATCAGAAATCCATATCTAATTCTTGAAGCTCACTTGAGATATCTCTAATCTCTGTGTGTATGAACATAAACAGCCAATCATTAAGACCAAAAAACAGAGAACAGAAAAAAAGCATAAAAAACTGAAATCGAATAAGCACCTTCTTCGCCTATAGATTTAAGAACAGCTTCGCCTTCAATCTTCTCCAGTCAACGATCTGAAGGACTCGTGTTTCTGTTCCAAATTTAACAGACAATCGATGCAACCATCACTGGTGATTAAAGCAGGTCAGGATGGAGGATGGAGGATGCAATCATATAAGAAATCCAAAGAGAAGAAGTGAAATTGTTGATGAATAAAGGAGAATTTGGGGGATGATTCCTGGAAGAGTTGAAGAAGATGAGTCTGGTGTGGGTTTCTGTTTGGATTTTATTGTCAGAGTACAACACGCTTTGTGTCAAATTCAACACGAGCCACTTAATTTTTCCTACACATTAATCACGGCAGTTTTGGTCAACTTTTCATTGCATATAGAATTTGAATAATACAATAATTATAGATGAAATGAATTTACACGTTTAAAATAATAATTGTGGGGCTTTTGGATTGTTTCTAAAAATAATTTATTGACTTATTTCGATGTGACATCGGTAATAAATATTTTTGAGTGTTTAGATAAACAACTTATATTAGTATCAAATCGAGTTTTTGAAGAAGTTAAATTATTCTAATTTATAATAAGTTGATAATGACTTTTGTAGAAAATCATAAGTTGTTTCAGATAAGCAATCACGAACACCCCCTGAAAACATATAAATTTGAATAAGAGCATTTTAATATATTCTTTCATATTTTTAAATAAGACACTAAAAGTTCAATATTCTAAACAAAATTTTATACAACTTTAACATATTGGATTGAGTTCATGTAAGATCACTATGTTTTCGTAAGACTCATGAGACCAAAAAATTACACTTAAAACTTCACAGCAAAAAACATTGTGAAGATAAAAAATTCGAACATTTACAGTAAAAACACTGTAAAAGTTAGCTTCACAGTATATTACTGTAATGTTACCAAAGGGCCTTCGGCCTAACGGTATCGTAGTCCTTGGTCTCGTAAGAGGTCAAATGTCAAACTTCACCAATGATGAGGAGAGTATGTGAGTTTATTTGTTACATTTGCCATATATAAATATTATATACTTAAAAAAAATATTACTGTAATGTTTCAAAAGTAAAAATGGAATCTCAAAGGTATTACTAAAATAGATTGATCGCATGTAATCCCGAGTTAGATATTTTTAAATTAAAATTTTTAATATTAATTAGATATAATTTCTTTATATAAAATAATAATACATTTGGTTGTTGGTGAAAAATAATATTTCCAACAAAAACAAATAGCGTAAAATAGCATCTCCAAACAAACAAACAAATCAAATAAAAAGTAAAATTCAAAAACTCCAAAAAAAAAATTACAATCAATTCTAATACTTTATTTATTTTAAAGATTATAATATTAATTATATAATTAAAATATTTTATTATATTTAATAAAATATTTTTTCTATAAACATTAAATTTTATTTTTTTTATTGGTGAAAGTATAAATTAATTTTTTTTTCTCATGATAATATTTTTTGGGAGTTCTTTTAAATTTGGAGAAGTTGATTCTCTTTTCTGTTTTCTTTATTTTGGATAATATTTTTGAAAATTGTTGAAACAAAAAATTTGTTAAATTTATTGAATATTTATTTAAAAAAAATCTGTTGGAGATATTTTAAAATGCACAACAAATTTTTTAAAATGTGTTTGATTGAACCAAAGATATTTAGGGGCCGTTTACCAAACACTTAACCGGTAAGTGCTTACGGATAAAATTTAACACTATTATTTACATACCGGGTAAGAACTTAGTCCACAAAAATGACATCGTATGCAACAATTTACCCGGTAAACGCTTACTGTGGTAAGAGTTGTCGCCCTCACTTACCCGGGTAAGATTCATGGTCCTTGTTTCGCTTTTACTGGATAAAATTTTTGGTTCTTAGTATATTCATCCGGTGAGGTCTCATGACTTGGTAAGCACTTACCCGGATAAATGTTTAATAAACGATCTCTTACTCTCTTTTTTAATTTACAAAGAATTCATATATAATTATGATTACCAAAAATTAAAGTAATCTGTATGTATAGATTGAGAAATGCACGGGATGTGTAGTTTTTTGCATAAAACTTCTCCTAAAAGCTTACTGATAAGTCACTTTCTATATCGTTAAACCATTATTAAACAATCATATTTAATTGACTGAATAAGTTGTGAGTCCCATTAATCTCATCAAGTTGCTAATAAACAGACTCTAAGACATGAAAAGTTATGTTATCTTATTAAATATTTATTTTTGATTTGACAAATAAAATTCTTTTTAGTTGGTTCTGAAATATATGATTATAAAGTCGACTAATAATTATTATAGTTTGTCAAATAGATGAAATGATCGATAATATATTCGTTTTTAAGTGAACGACAAAAATCATATATGATACTTATCTAAAATGAAAAATTCAAATTCTTTAAAAAAAAAATTGCATTCAATTACAACACATTCTCTATTTTTAATATTACGAATTTACAACATTAATTTTATTGTTAAGTATTTCATACATTTAATAAAATATTTTTTTTCTATTAAAAAAATAATTTCAAAATTTTTATCAATGGGAACATAATAACGAATTTTTTTTCTCCGATAGCAATAATTTTTAGGGAATTCGTTAAACTTGGAGAAATTTCACCACTACTCTCGTAATTTCTTCATTTTAGAGAAAAATTTCGAAAAACCTGTTGGGAATTTGTTATTATCCAAAATTCCCTGTAACCTTAATTTTCTTTGTTTTAAAGAATGTGTTAAGAGTGTTGTGAAGACAATATTTTCCTTTGAGGACGAATGATTGTGTGGAAATAAAAGTTAAGATGAAAAGCGTAAGAATAGATCTGAACATTTGATCGCTTTTAATTTCACCCCACTTATAAACTGTGCTTATCACGAAATTGATTCACTACAACTCGATGTATCACATTAATAATACTCTTCAATTAGCATTGATAAAAGAATGAAGATCTATTCTCAAAAACCCAACCCATTCCTTTGTGAAATTTCATTTGTTAGGAGGTCTCATGTTCAAATCCAAGGAGGAATAAAAGTCCCTTGTGGTCACGGAGGTTCAAATGCTGTGACTCCGGGCTATCTGCAAAGCAGGTGGTCGTCATGAGATTAATCGCCTCGCATAACGGGTTGGATATCCTGGTTAATAAAAAGAAATTCATTTGTTGGGATCATCAATAATTTAATTCTCAAGTAATGTGGTATTGTGTGTGTGTATATATATATATATAATATTACAGTAATGAAATAAAGAGATATTAGATTATATATAGATGACGCTTCATCTACAAACCATTTAATTCTAAAAGCATGATCAATATTTATATTAGGAAACAATAGAGATGTTTATGGACAATTATCATGATTTGTTAATTATGATTGAAATATATATATGAAATATGATAAAGTTCATTCATCATCATCGTGGGTTTAAATTAGGAAACATGATGAAATCAAATATTTATTAGACTGGATGAACGACTAAAATTGATTTGTATAGTTTGGTAGAATTGGATGATTTATAAATGAAACGTTGCATATATATATATATATATATATATATATATATATATATAGGTTGGTTATTATACAACCCATGACATTTGTGCAACCAATACAACCCAATCTCAATCGTCCATTTCATTTGATTAATATGTGATTTCATAGAAGTTTTTGATTATTATCTTAATATAAAGTATTGATCATAATTAATGAACCATATTCATCTTCCATAAATATTTAAATCATAATAAATGAACTCTCATCATTTCCATAAATATCTCCATTTATTGGGTTGCATTGGTTGTACAAATGCGACAGGTTGTATTTGAAACAAACTCTCTCTCTCTCTCTCTCTCTATATATATATATATATAGTCATAGGTTCATTTGAGAATTGATAAGTATTTGAGAAGTAGAAAAACGATCATATTCCTACATCTGGTCAAGATTTGCGGCATTGACTACGAAATACTAGATAATTCCTCACATGATATGCGAAAGATAAAATGGTAGTTTCGTAACTTTTATAAATAACCGACAAAACAAGTATATAGTGAACCCGTGTAATTCACATATAAACCCATCTGATTCACATATGGACTAATTAACTAATTCACAATTGAACTATGAGTTCACAAGGTTGGGTTCCAGTGAGAAGACAAGTTATGGTGAGAACGGTAAGAAATGATCTCCACATTTGAATCAATTTTAATTGAAGATCAACACTAATGAGATGCATCGAGATGTACCAGATTAGTTCCCTTCTAAAGCGCAATTCATAAATGAACATGAAATTAAAAGTGATCAAGGGTGAAAATATTTTATTTTTCTTCTCACCTTAACTCTTTTTCTCACATGCTCCTCATATGGGTTCACATATGCACTTCTTTACCGCCTATTTGTAAAAGTTACGAAATTACCCGTCTTTTTTCTTTTGACTAGTTAAAGTCACAAACTTTGACCAATCAAAGCTGCAATCTTTGACCAATCAAAACTGCAATTTTGACCATATGAAGGGCTAATGATCATTTCTTAACTTTTTAAATACTTACCACTCGTCAAAATTATATATATTTGAGAAGTAAAAAAGTGATTATAGCCTTTCATATGGTTACGATCAGATTTAATTGGTCAAGAATTGTGGTTTTGACTGGTCAAAAATTGCAGCTATGCAAAAAAATAAAGAGGGTAATTTTGTAACTTTTACAAATAAGCGACAAACGAGTTCATATATGAACCTATGTGATTCACATATGAATTATATATTCATATGTGAACTCGTGTAATTCACATATGAACTATTTTAACTGGTTCATATATGAAGGAATTAACTGATTCACATATGAAAGAATTAACTGATTCATATATGAACTCATGGGTTCATATATGAATTAGTTAAATAGTTCGCATGTGAACTAATCAACGGGTTCACAGTTCATATATGTATCACATGAGTTCATATATGAACCTTTTTGTCGCCTATTTGTAAAAGTTACGAAACTACCAATCTTCCGCATACCTATATAAGAAATTATCCGTTGCTTCACGTTCAAAGCCGCAAATGTTGACCAGATGAAGAGCTATGATCACTTGTTTACTTTTTAAAAATTTACCAATTTTCAAATGAATCTCTCTAGCTAACTGGATTAACAAGTTTTTATTAACCCTCAAAAATTGTACTTTAATTTGGAATTAACGCAAGTTTGGTGGCCAAATTGCAATAATACAAGAAGGTTACCGTTAGTTTACTT